AGGCGGCTTAAAACTGAGAAGAAAACTGTAATCTAAAAAGACCCTTTTTTTCAGATGACAGAATACTCTAGTTCAGGGAAACAATGCGCATGTGCAAGATCGATCGTGATTTTGCGTTATCGACTGATTAGATACGAGATTTGATGAACTGGGGGCATTATCAGTTTATTGATTTATCAGATCGGCATCGTTATTACTGCAATCAGATTATTTAAAAAAAGTGATTGATTACACTGACAGATTAAAACAGACTATTTTGACTGTTATATGTTAATTAATCTTAATTACAAAAGAAACGGTTTGATATGTCACCTGACTTTGCGTGTCACCTTCACGCAAAAATGGACAGATTCATGCTGTGATGTTCACTTAGCAGATATATTCAACAAGTTACGAGTGCTATTTCATTACCATATCTTAGGTCATAAAAATAAAAGTCAATCAACACCTAGGCCATATGGTATCATGAAATTTTACCTTAAACTATGTATCTTACAGGCGACAGTTGGACAAAATTAATATACCCTTCATAATTATAATCATGTTCTGACAGTTACCGTTAATACATATGTTCAAAATACTAGCCCTGATTGCATGCATGTATAAAATTTACATAAAGGTATCGTGCTTAATTCAAATGTATCAGATATTGACAATTTTGAAAGGAGGGGGATCAGTGTTGTTCAGCATTTTATCTTGTCTTATCGTGAAGCATCATAATATAGTATGCAGAATATCTAATTAATTTCAATGAGATTTTATAAGATCTTAAACAGAATAAAAGATACTTTTTATATTTTTTTATATCTTCAGAAAGTAAATTTTCACACATATATATAGTTTGGCATTTGATTACATACTTTTAATGAACAGTTCTGTTGTGTATTTATTTTTGTGTCAGAAAATTCACGTTAATAGGTAGAAAAATGATAATAAATGTGAAAAAAAATATTGTTATATTACAATTAATTTAGAAAAAAGTACCCCCCCCCCCCCCCCCCTAGACAAAAAAAAAACAATGATAGTCGTCTTGTCGAAAGCAAGGAGATCTTCAAGATTTATGAGTGAAATAACTGCCTACTTGGATCTTTTGACATACATCCTTCTTTTGTCAAGCTTGAGAAATTTATTTCGCCGAAAGCGAGACTTGGCGATCCTATATTCCGTCGTCAGCGTTAACGCCGGCTGTGTCAGCATTTAGGTTCAGTACGTGGTTAAAGTTTTTTTTGCATCAAAATCTTTGTCAAACATAATGGAATTTCGGGAAATTCGAACAGAAGCTTCTTTATGACCAAAATACAGTATCCAGGACAAAATTTTGCAAATATTTATTTTCATTTTTCCGTATTTTATTACTAAATGGACTTCGTTTTTCATTAACAGTTAAATTCATGTTTTGTCTAAGGTTAAAGTTTTTCATGCAGTCATCAATGACCGTTTTGTTTAATCGTCCAGTTGCAAGTTAAATGCATATCCATGCAGGTCACAGTCAAGATCATGATAATGATATATGAATGTTGAAACTGTTTTGTTCTACATTGCGCTGGACTTTTCACTTGTTTGTTCAAAATACAACAGTCCGAGTAAAGACATTGTATAGCTTATTAGTGGGTGTGGCTTTTTTGCTAAGAGTTTAATTCCATACGACGAACTATACATAGCTGTTTGTTTTTATGGGAACTTTTTTGTTATGGGTCGAACAAGGAACGTATATACTATTCCAAGGTTAAACGATCAGACTATTTATACAATATTGAAAACATAGCATTTATGAAGCCATGGTTATAGTTTATTGAATACTTCGCATAATATCATTCATGATATCGACTAGCTTTGTGCTATGACAAGAAACAACTTTTCAAAAAGCTCCGTTTTACATGACAATCATATGGTTTAAATTGTTTATCTATATCTGACCGACACAAGCCAAAGAGAATAAATTATGTAGTGTCACCGTTGAATAATATACTGTTTTGGCAATTAATGCCATTACGTCAGTATGAATCAGGAAATTATTCTCAATCTCCAAAGATGATATTTCTGCACATAAACTTCCTCGAAGTTCTTGGAAGTGTCCAGGGACTTGTAGGCCCTCGTTCCTTCTTTATCAAACATTTCGTTTTGGTTATTTGCAAGGTAAATTTCAAGTTTCCTTCAAATTTCTTTCCCAATTTTCTCCCGTAATTTTCAAAAACTAGGTCTCGAAATTCTACACAATATTTTTTTTACTTGATTAAACATAAACATAAACCAAAAAACAGATGACACTCAACGACTTCACAGGTAAACGGGAAAGCGGCGGGCATTCTTAACATCGAATATTGATTTGGACCAAATGACTTTGCCCCCAGTTCATCCAAATCTCGCATATTCTCGCATGAATTTTAATTAAACGCTTTACCCACTCAGAATTCTAGGTCGCGAACAAGCTTTCCCTGAACTAGAGTATTCTGTAAAAATTCACATTCCACAAAATGGGATCATTCGAAAATTATTTTTCAGTATTGGAAAAAAAAGTTCTAGGGTCGGAGGGTTTAAACTAGGGTTGGTCGGGTTACTGGAACCATACATATACTTTTATTTGGCCTTACTAGTAATCAGCAGTAATGTCCAGAATAAAGAACAAGGTATGATAAGGGCCTTGGTCGAATTGTCACTGAAATTTGGTATCAGATTAAGATTTATTTATAGTGTATATTTTCAGATTGAGGTATAACAAAACTAATAAAAGATCAAGAGTTCCAATGTCTTCCACCATGTCCATTACATTTACTTGGTTCTTTCAAAACTCAATGCAAAGTAATAAGGCTTGGGATCGCCTACAAAGCAATTTTCCATATAATTTCTTTTTCCAAGGGACTTGTGGGGTTATCAAAAATTAGTTGTCACTGATAGGCTTGACAATGTGTTCAATGCTATTTTCTGTGTATTCTTTATTTCCAAGGGGCATAACTCCTTTCAAATAGTTGATCATCACTACTACGTACACTAGTCTTCAAAATGTACTGAAGCCCCACATTCCTCTTTTCATTAATATCACAAGTGTACATGAATTTTATTTGGTGAATTTGATTATCTTGTTATCAAATTATCTTTCAAAGAAGCATATGCTTCAATTGTGAATTGATTTTTATCAAGTTATTTTAGATACTGGTACTGTAGATCATACAGGGGCGGATCCAGCCATTTTTAAAGGGGGGGGGGGGGGGGGGGGGGGGGGGGGTCCCAACCCAGGATAAAAGGGGGGTTCCAACTATATGTCCCCATTCAAATGCATTGATCATCAAAAAAAAGGGGGTTCCAACCCCAGGAACACACCCCCCCAGCCCCCCCCCCCCCCCCCCCCCCCCCCCCCCCCCCTTGATCAGACACTGGCACTGTCATAAGATGCTTCAATTTTATAATGTTACATGTAATAGCAGTATTTGCATTACTAACTGTTAACAGAATATATTTAATCAAGGATTTATATAGTTATAACTATACAAATCCTTGATTAATCAAAGAGGAAGGGAAGAAACAACTCTAAATAAAAAAGGGGGAATACAGATTACAAGTATCGATACCTTATTCAATTAATCAATCTGTTGATGGGAAAATATTTTCAAATCATCCTTTTAAATGATTTACGTACTCATCTAGGCTAATCAGAACATAAAAAGGCAATTTGATGTCACTCAATGGGTTCTTGATTTCCCGCCAAAAAAATGTTTCTAAATTCGGAATAAAGGCGCCATGGGTAACATTCCGGACGAAATAAACATTGACAATGTTGTAAGTGCGAACCGTTCACCGTGCTTGTTTACAAGCTACAGGCTGTGTAAATATCTCATATTTTCAGCATAATAGATACAAAAGGCACTCAGTATTCTTTGACTAGAAGAAAAAACTAATTTGTAGAATTCTATGTATATTATGAGAACTTGATAGCTCTTATAAATGCTTTAAAAAGATAAAAGAAAGAAATGATGTCATCGAAATCGTTTTCTTGATATATATCCATAAAATAGAAAAGAAATTACAGTACATTTTTTCATCTTTTTTTTATATGTTCTCGTTTGTTCAAAACTAAATGATATAACTTATCTTCTAGGTAAGCGTATATTTGTTCCGCATAACAGTTAACTGGCCACCCGCTGATTGATACTTCGACACAATTCTTTGTGTAGATAAGATTGAAACAACAGCAGGGGTCCAGTTTAGCCTAACAGAAGCTCCAGTGGAAAATTGTTATAAATAATGCCATAACAACATCATTTCTGTTTCTGTTGGAACAAGCATTCTATAATCTTTATTCCTTTTGGAACTTATATTATGAAAGAACTATTATTTCATGACAATCTCCCTTTAATATAGAGTAAAGTTTGGTTTTTTTTAATCATGCATTACTTTTTTTCTGTATTTGTTAATAAAGATATTTACATAAAAATAAAATCATTCGGATTTCCTTATCTTACTATATGTATGCACTATTATTGTGGTGTCAAAATTAAAGGTTATAATTGAATCACGAATTCTTGAAAAGTAAAATTTTAAAAGATATTAGATAGTAACTAAATGAAACTGAAAATACTCTTGCTGTTACCAATAGTTAAATTGACGTTCCGACTGTTTCTACCAGAGTATCATCGCGTTGGAATATAACTTCCGTTGGGGGAGGGGGAGAGAGATACAAACTGTATGAGATATTAGATAAATTATGATGGCTGTGCAATCAAAAATAAACCATTTATCAAAACATGATGAACGTTATTTCACTGAAAATGCTCTAAATAATCTAACTATATTACATAGGACTTAAAGCTATCATCGACAAACCAGTGGTACAGTGACAACATGCTGGTTCTATTGACGAATAACTTTCCGTTAAGAATAGATTGGAGTGACAACCTACCAAAAGTATAGAGAAAGCAAATTAAACAGTAGTGTAGAGCGAGGTTGCTCTGACGCCATGGCGGCCTTTTTGTAACTTGATGGAGCCGTGGGACCAATACAAAATTGCAAACAGATATAGTACTATCATAAGCCCGACTGACAAACCAAGGTCCATCTTAACGATGGCAAGGCATTGAATTGTAACCGTACCGTAAATTTGATTATTTTTTTAAATATGATTCAAGTCTTTTACGATGCTAAAAGTGCAACTACAATATTATGTATAAACCGAAATTCACCACGTCATAATGAAATAATAGATGAGCGTTGTCGTTGGTGAACCCGTCGCTACTGTGATATGTTCCGTCAATCGGAGGCAGTCGCGAGATGCGACTATTTTTTTTATTTCAGTACCTGCTTTTTCTTTCTTGCTTTGTTTTCTTCACCAGGGAAGCGTCCGATTATATGTGGTAAGCAATGCATGTAATTCATAGATTAACTTACTTTTCACATACATTACATATTTTTTCAATACATACAGATTTTCTCTTTCTCTTCCTGTAAAAAACGACACAAAAAAAAACAATAAAAACAAAACAAAACAAATAAAATCAATTATTGATCAATTTTCCGCAATCTCAATATTTTTTTTCTGTTTTCTAGCCTGTCTACAATGAATGAAGTGAGCTATTTTACTCTGTTGATGAGAAAGATACTATCTTTATTCGATAGTTCATACGACACAGTCCCTTTTACATGTTTACTACATGAAGCTCTAGATGTAAGTAACAAATACAGAAGTTACTATTTCATATTTATACCTTGATTTTGTTACTTAACTGGTCACTTTTTTATTGATTTGTTTAATAAATATAACCTCATCCAAGATTTACCCAAAGTATTGCCTTCTCGTTTAATCAATATAGAATTGTTGAGTTGATGTCTGAGACATTTCAACGTCTTTGAATGTTATAGTTGGGTAAGATATGTAATTCATTTAACTGTTATTTTCTGTTGATAAATGGAGCAAAACCTACTGTCCATAATTTGTATACAATGTCAATAAAATGATGGAACTTTGGGGCCCTAGAATTATTTGTCTGTATCTGTATTGGTACGTGTAGAATCCTATTTTAATAGGCTTTTTTTTAAGAGCGCCTTTGTTATGGGCGGTGTCCCTGTAGCGCGGTCTTGAATGCCTCTACAGAAACTGCACACACAACTTTATCTGGCAGTTGGTTCCAGCTTATGATTGTTTCCACAAAAAATGAATGCTTACATTGTGGCTTATTGCTGTCTGGTGTTGTTTATTATGTGCCGTTCAGTTATATTGTCTGTTTCACAGTTTGTAAATATTTTGGCGTTGATTGTTCTTTTCGGTCTTGCTGGTGTGACAAAATTGTTGGCTGGCAGAGCCGGCACCAGTTCCTCAATCACCTTGTATATCAATTTCTAGCTGACGTCTCTTGATGGTTATGGACCCTGTTTTTCGACTCCTGACTTTCTTGATGAATCGTATGCCTCTGTTTTGTATACCTTCCAATTTGTCTATATCCCCATTCATATATGGGTTCCAGATGGTTGCGCAATATTCCATTGTAGATCTGACCAAATATGTGTGTATGCTGCTTTTCTACACGCTTCTGGTACGTTTCTTAAGTTCCTCCTAAGAAGTACCAAGGTGGCATGGGCTTTCTTGCTAATGTTGTTTATGTGGATACTCCATTTCAGGTCATTTGATATTTGGAGTCCTATGTATGGGTTTACATGTACCTCTTGTAGGATGTGTTTACTGAGCGTGTATAATTTGTCGGTTTTTTTAAATCGCGATGACCGTGAGGGCATTCCGATGTATTGTTGCCGACGAAATTTCCACTTACGTAACTTTCGTGTTTGACTGGTAACCGATCTATAAACAGATAAATACGCGGACATTATCGAGTGCAAAATAACATTCCTTATCGCTTGTTATAAATTCATTTCTTCAATGAATACTGATCAAAAAAAATTTTTTAGAACATAAATTAATAGTATGAAAATGTTTTGTCGTTAGAAATATATATATAAGTAAAAAATCATTGATAATATCTATGCACACGTACCCGGCGAAAAATTGTGTTAACGCAAGCGGAAGAATATCTCAAGAACGTTTTTGTTTTGCGGGAAAATATGAATGCCTACTCAAATCCAATCTATTAGAAAAATCGAATTTTTACAGAAGAGTGTCCACCATGCACTTGCACTGCACTATTATTAGAATAGTAGAATAGAATGATATACAAATGGATGAAAATTATATATACATGTAACTGTTATATTAATATAATATATAACAACAAACCAGAGTATACGGATTTGTATCACTATAATATAATAGTTATTACGGTGAGGTTGAATTTCCTGTCATTTATTCATCATCCACGCTCGAACTTGTCTCAGAAAAAAATATATCTCTGTACATTAACCTCAGTTTAGGTATAGAGATGTGATTTTTTTCTGAGACAAGTGCTTTCAGTGACCATCCACAAGAACTTGCGGTCATCCGATGTTCAATACTTCAGTACTTTGATATTGATGGATAGGACATAGCACTTTTTGGCGTTGAATTGCATCCCCGATCGATATTATATGACCTGGACAGGCCGACAAAGTGTTTGACTACTTCTGGGTGTATTAACAGAAAAAATTGAAATTAAACGTACCTTATAAATGATTATCATATATGATTTCTTTCATTCAGACCTCGGGGAAGGGGGGCAGGGCAATTCCTATATACAAGGTGATAGGACGTACTGCTGGAATAGGTCACACTTTCCAGCTTGTAAATATATGAAAAGGTGCATGGGAAAACTATCCGAAATATATGATAAGGTCAATCAAATTCCTAATTTTTGTTAGAAGAAAAGCCCTCTCTGATTTTTTCTGAAAGTCTCGCCGTAAGTTAACATTACATAAGGAATGCAGATATAAAGATCTGAGCTCCAAGCAAATGTGATATTATGCTGGAATGCGAAACTAATATGGGAAAAGGTTACATTTTTACCTACGCAATATATGAAAAGGCACACATTTTTAAAATCTAAATTATATGAAAAGGATGGGGTAACAGAACCCCAGCGGCACCCTCTATCAATTAAGTATTGAAGTCCCCCCTCCCCCCCCCCCCGCCCCCCCCCCCCCCCACACACACGAGTTCAGACTGCTCTATCAAAATAGTTCTACAGGTTGAACACTTTTACCTTTCATTTGACCATCGTGCTCAAAAGTGCTTCATTAATTCAAACTAAACTGGTTTAGGCATCAAGTCTCCTTGTCATTACTAGTGTTACCTGGCATCTTTTCCGCATGTTCACCCTCCTCTAAGTGTTTCACTAGAAGCTAATGGAAATATGAACAGGTATAACTTTAATTAAAATTGAGAATGGAAATGGGGAATGTGTCAAAGAGACAACAACCCGACCATAGAACAGACAACAGCAGAAGGTCACCAACAGGTCTTCAATGTAGCGAGAAATTCCCGCACCCGGAGGCGTCCTTCAGCTGGCCCCTAAACAAATATATATACTAGTTCAGTGATAATGAACGCCATACTAAACTCCAAATTGTACACAAGAAACTAATAAACTACCATTTGATCTATAAAGGCTCATTCGTATGCAAAATTTGAAAAAAAAATATATAGCCTAGACATAACCAGAAAGGTTCCGGCCAATAAATTACTGTAACTTTAATTTACACAATATTTAGTCAGATGAATCATAGCATAGCAATTAAATACACATGGAATCTTTCAAATATGAGTCGGCTTTGAGCGTTCCTGTTAAAGGTAAATCCAGAAAAGCACTTCGGACGCATGAAATTTATAATGTGTTGTTTCCATTTTTTTCTAACGGATTCAGGATAAAACTGGCAAAGTAGCTTTTACATTTCTGTATCCTAGTCTACAAAAAATGCACTTACTTGCTCAAAACGTAAATATTGACATGATCTGAAATACATTTATAAATATGAAAACGGTGAAAAATGAAATAATAAAAAAGAATAAACATGAAATTATTCTGTATAAAAACAGTGTGAAATGCTTGGGTTTTTTTTGAATGATGTAGCATTAACATCAAGTATAAAAACGTTTGCTTTTATAATGTATTTCTGCATCATACAAAATAAAAGACTTTTCTGCTCGTCTGACAGTAGTGCCAAGTTGAGTCAAAAAGCATACTATTGGTGTGAACTTTGATAGAAAGGACTGAAAGTGAACCAGTAGTGCCTGTCGTAAATTGGTGTACTATTATAATGGACAAAGTATTAGTTTACAAAGACAGTAAGGGGCTTCTACCAAATTCCGAAGAAATAGATGAGAATTCAATGAACTCGAGTTCATTCTTAATGACGAGTAATCAAATTCTGGTTTTGAGAGACCCATACGACGTCTATATATTCGAGAATTGGTCGAACAAATGATGTGTAAAATGTTTCATGAGTAAACCTACCTCATTATATTTATTCTTTTGTAAGATTTAGTAAATATATATTCAATATGGTACCACTAGTTTCCGTTGTCGTAGAAATAGACAAATATATGTTGGTGTTTTTACTATTTTTAGCTTTTGAGTATTAAATTTTAGGAGAGGATGAAAGGGTTTATTTTGGGCACTGAAATTCACAGGCCATTTCTTTGATCAACTATAAATTTAATCTAAATCATTATTTAAAATTGTACATGCTACTGTTGAATTGTCAACTATAATAATTATATAATGAAGTGTATTCTGCAAGTAGTTTGATTTGAGCCTGAATTTGAATTTCTTCGGCTATGTCATTCATAAATATAAAAAAGGAGAGGGCCTAGAATTGACTCTTTCGGGTCTGCATTTACCAATAGCCATTCAGAACTTGAACAGTTAATTACCACCCTTTGGACTAAATTTGTCAGATAATTTTCAAACAATTTCAACAAAGAACCCTATATGCCTGTTTGTTAGAATTTGAATAACATTCCATACTGCTAAAACACGATAACAAGAAATACTTATGTCCTATATGCTGTAGCGTTGATACTTTAAACAAACTAATATCTATAACAAGCACGGTGCGACCTAGTTTTACAATTGAACTCTATTAGAAATGTAATTGAAACCCTCTGAGGGTGTATACTCCAAATCTTTTTTTTTTTAACATCCGTATAATACATATTATATTCCTGTTTTGTAGTTCCCTTTGATGATACTGATCAGAATAGTGTTTGCCTACACCTGTACCCTTGTGGCTACACTGTTAGTTATCTTTCTTGAGTAAGTGTTAACATGTACTTATCTTTACTTTTTTTTTTTTTTTTTTTTTTTTTTTTTTAGTTTTACATACATATATTTAAATAAACAGTACAATTGTTTTGACCTGATAAGCATCATTGTAATTCATAATATTTACATCAATATCTTTACTTTATTAATGTATAAAAGTATGTTATAAATCAACTCACCAAATCCAAAAAGCTTTTTCTTTCAATTTGAAGGTCAATTTTGGCTTTTAAACTTTTTATATCTTTTAAATTCAAAACGTATAATTATTGCGTTACTCGGTATGTTTTTTTTTGTTATTGTTTCTTAAGTTCAAAAATATTTTTTTTACAAAATCTTGTACACCACTCTTTTATTACACTAAGTATATGGTAATAAGTATATATAAATTTGATGTGTTGTCCAATATTTTGGTAGTCTGTTTTATGTATTATAAGATAAAAGGGCTGCACATATCTTTTTGTCTTTTCAGATGGATTGTCATCAGAGCCAGCCACGAATGCACTTGCTTGCCCTGAACTTTGCAATCTTATACTACAGAATAAATACATTTTACTTGATGTTATCAGTCTTCTGATTTTTAAAAGCAAAAACTAAAAAAATAAGGGAAAGGAATATGCCATGCGTATTTAGTTGTGTTTTGTCGTTATTGATAGTCAATAAAACAGGGATACAGTACAAATGCCAATGAAACAGCATAACATGAAATACTTTGAAAAAACTGAGAAGCGAGAGGCACTAGTACACAATACTGATTAACATCATAATTTCCACTAAGATGACTATGTTAATGATATTGAGATTAAGTCCTCGTAGTCTAAAAAAATCGATTCCTACATGCCAAAATGTGTTTTGATTGAAATAAAATATCACTTCTGTCGATACAATTTTTTTTTGCATTGCACCAGGTTATAATTTCCTCAAACAGTTTATGAAGTCTTTATACTAAATCAATTGATGCAACAGTTGATATTTTATTCTGGGAAAACATGATTTATTTATTAGTTGTAATTGGCTTTTAGTACAGTAAGTGAATTGTTTACATGTAGCTTTCAGTAACTGCAAGTGCCTTTAGAGCGATACCTTGTCTTTTCTTTGCATTTTGGTTAGGCTTTTTGTGTGCTTAGTGCCAATATAACGAGTCAAGTCTTTTTTAACTGATTGTTATAGTTTGTTCTGATGTTGTTACATCACTCATGACTGTCCGAGGTAATAGGAGGGTCGAGCACTCTCACATATGTTTTCCCCCGCTACATGCTGTGTGCCTATCTAAGTAAGGAGTCAGTTGTCCTCGATTACTATTTGCCATATTTGTTTTTCGTTTATTGTTTTTAGCATAAATCAAACCTTTATTTGGTGATCTACTATCATTTTGAATTCCATCACATTTTGTCATACCGTTTTCTTTACGGTATGGGTTTTGCTTACTGTTGAAGGTCGTACAGGGCCCTATAATTGGTCGTCCTCGTGTCTCTGGTGGATAATTATTTCATTAGAAGGATACAAGGTTTTTTTTATATTTGACGTTATAATCAGTCTACAAGGGTGCGACCAAATATTCTTTACAGGTAAGCAATTGAAAAATGACAATGGCAAAAGTTTTGGCAAATAATGGTAATGGTAACTGAAAACCTTCATTGAGACTTAATTTTTCATCGGTAATGAGCAGGTCTTCCATGGCAAACAAGGTCTAATTGAAAAATGCGATTTTAACCTGCATTTGGAATAAGTTATTTATTCCGGTCTTCTTCCTTATAGTTAGATGAGCCACAGACATATAATTGTATTAAATGTCTCTGGATGAGCTAAAGACTTCTTCCTTATAGTTAGATGACCCACAGACATATAATTGTATTAAATGTCTCTGGATGAACTAAAGACTTCTTCCTTAAAGTTAGATGAGCCACAGACATATAATTGTATTAAATGTCTCTGGATGAGCTAAAGACTTCTTCCTTATAGTTAGATGACCCACAGACATATAATTGTATTAAATGTCTCTGGATGAGCTAAAGACTTCTTCCTTATAGTTAGATGAGCCAGAGACATATAATTGTATTAAATGTCTCTGGATGAGCTAAAGACTTCTTCCTTATAGTTAGATAAGCCAGAGATATATAATTGTATTAAATGTCTCTGGATGAGCTAAAGACTTCTTCCTTATAGTTAGATGTCCCACAGACATATAATTGTATTAAATGTCTCTGGATGAGCTAAAGACTTCTTCCTTATAGTTAGATGAGCCACAGACATATAATTGTATTAAATGTCTCTGGATGAGCTAAAGACTTCTTCCTTATAGTTAGATGAGCCACAGACATATAATTGTATTAAATGTCTCTGGATGAGCTAAAGACTTCTTCCTTATAGTTAGATGAGCCACAGACATATAATTGTATTAAATGTCTCTGGATGAGCTAAAGACTTCTTCCTTATAGTTAGATGACCCAGAGATATATAATTGTATTAAATGTCTCTGGATGAGCTAAAGACTTCTTCCTTATAGTTAGATGACCCACAGACATATAATTGTATTAAATGTCTCTGGATGAGCTAAAGACTTCTTCCTTATAGTTAGATGACCCACAGACATATAATTGTATTAAATGTCTCTGGATGAGCTAAAGACATCTTCCTTATAGTAAGATGAGCCACAGACATATAATTGTACTAAATGTCTCTGGATGAGCTAAAGACTTCTTCCTTATAGTTAGATGAGCCACAGACATATAATTGTATTAAATGTCTCTGGATGAGCTAAAGACTTCTTCCTTATAGTTAGATGAGCCACAGACATATAATTGTATTAAATGTCTCTGGATGAGCTAAAGACTTCTTCCTTATAGTTAGATGAGCCACAGACATATAATTGTATTAAATGTCTCTGGATGAGCTAAAGACTTCTTCCTTATAGTTAGATGAGCCACAGACATATAATTGTATTAAATGTCTCTGGATGAGCTAAAGACTTCTTCCTTATAGTTAGATGAGCCACAGACATATAATTGTATTAAATGTCTCTGGATGAGCTATAGACTTCTTCCTTATAGTTAGATGAGCCACAGACATATAATTGTATTAAATGTCTCTGGATGAGCTAAAGACTTCTTCCTTATAGTTAGATGAGCCACAGACATAAAATTGTATTAAATGTCTCTGGGTGAGCTAAAGACTTCTTCCTTATAGTTAGATGACCCACAGACATATAATTGTATTAAATGTCTCTGGATGAACTAAAGACTTCTTCCTTATAGTAAGATGACCCACAGACATATAATTGTATTAAATGTCTCTGGATGAGCTAAAGACTTCTTCCTTATAGTTAGATGAGCCACAGACATATAATTGTATTAAATGTCTCTGGATGAGCTAAAGACTTCTTCCTTATAGTTAGATGAGCCACAGACATATAATTGTATTAAATGTCTCTGGATGAGCTAAAGACTTCTTCCTTATAGTTAGATGAGCCACAGACATATAATTGTATTAAATGTCTCTGGATGAGCTAAAGACTTCTTCCTTATAGTTAGATGAGCCACAGACATATAATTGTATTAAATGTCTCTGGATGAGCTAAAGACTTCTTCCTTATAGTTAGATGAGCCACAGACATATAATTGTATTAAATGTCTCTGGATGAGCTAAAGACTTCTTCCTTATAGTTAGATGAGCCACAGACATATAATTGTATTAAATGTCTCTGGATGAGCTAAAGACTTCTTCCTTAAAGTTAGATGAGCCAGAGACATATAATTGTATTTAATGTCTCTGGATGAGCTAAAGACTTCTTCCTTATAGTTAGATGAGCCACAGACATATAATTGTATTAAATGTCTCTGGATGAGCTAAAGACTTCTTCCTTAAAGTTAGATGAGCCACAGACATATAATTGTATTAAATGTCTCTGGATGAGCTAAAGACTTCTTCCTTAAAGTTTGATGAGCCACAGACATATAATTGTATTAAATGTCTCTGGATGAGCTAAAGACTTCTTCCTTATAGTTAGATGAGCCACAGACATATAATTGTATTAAATGTCTCTGGATGAGCTAAAGACTTCTTCCTTATAGTTAGATGAGCCACAGACATATAATTGTATTAAATGTCTCTGGATGAGCTAAAGACTTCTTCCTTAAAGTTAGATGAGCCACAGACATATAATTGTATTAAATGTCTCTGGATGAGCTAAAGACTTCTTCCTTATAGTTAGATGAGCCACAGACATATAATTGTATTAAATGTCTCTGGATGAGCTAAAGACTTCTTCCTTATAGTTAGATGAGCCACAGACATATAATTGTATTAAATGTCTCTGGATGAGCTAAACAGATTTGCATTTTTTATCGAAAACACAAAAACAATTGCATACAATGTATTAGTAAGAAAGTTGTCACATTGGTATAAAATACTTCATTCACTGGTTTATATACACAATATTAAAATCAAATCCAAACAACGAACTAGTTAAACATCTCCCCCAAGAAAATTAATTACCTCTGTATCTTGTAATTATTTCATTATTATTTTCTGTCAATTACTGAAGAGACATTTGTTTTAATTCTGCATGTCACACTACTACTTCAACACAGAGGAAATTAAGAATTAAATTCATAATGCTTTATTAGTCCAAGTAATCCTTATTTTAAATAAAATCGCAAAAGTAATCGATTGGTTTAGAAAATATCTCAGTAACAAAGTATGACAGAGCTCAAATTGAAATATAAATTAATTCTTAGATTAATAAACTGATGGAATAAAGAACACATGAAAAAGTATCTGTCATTTTATGTTGTGTTGTGGGACCAACAGAAATTATTATAGTAGTAGTCTCAGATTATACTGAGACTTTGCAGATCTACATCACAGAAACGTCAACATGGACGCATTTTACATGTTGAATTTTCTCTTAATGAATGTTATTACAGCTATTGCTGACATGCAATTAATGTTTTTCAACGTTTACAAAAATCAGAAAGTTTTATCGAACTATCAAATGCACAGAACATTTTATCTGAGTTCTAAAGAAGAATGTGCGATCTATTGTTTAAATACTTTGACATGCTGGTCTGCGAGTTATCGCAGTATTACTGGAGAATGTGGACCAAGTAGCAGGAGTGCAAGATCTGAACCGAGCACGACACATAATGACCCTGAGTGGATAATTCTAAACAGAAATGGTAAGGGCTTGCAGTAATCGTACATTTTAAGTATATATATCAGTCTTAACGAGTGCAAAAAGAAAATATGACGAAGGAAGTATACAGGTCAGAAATGTTTCACATACTGATGCATTACCCAACAAACTACTTTTGAAATGATATACTTTATTAAAAATGATATACTAATTTTCGTGCATGTTTTTAGCTCTTTTTTTTAACTGTAAATATCCATTCTTGTTAGTTTGCTTTTTCGTAACTTATACCATTTTTCGATTGTTATCAGACATTTTTGAAAATTCCTACACTTTTGCGGTTTTAAATTTCAGTATATTCTTGTGTAACACAATGACCATAAATATCAAAATCGTCATCTGCAAAGTCATTCTTACATGAA